CCCAGCGCCGCGCCCCCCAGCGCCGGCTCACAGACCTGCAGCCCGAGGAGGCCCTGTGCCGGCTTAATGTGCTGCTGCCACCGCCTTGAAACCTTAGTAGTTTCTGAATGCTAAAATCCAAAACCAGTTGTTGTTGAGCGGATGCCAACTCATGGTAACACCACGTGTGTAAGCGTAGAACGGTACTCCAAGTGTTTTCAATGACTGATCTTTTGGACGTAGATCACCAGGCCTTTCTTCCGTGGTGCCTCTGGGTGGACTCAAACCTCCAACCTTTCAGTTTGCAGCCAAGCTCTTAACTATTTGCACTGCCCAGGGGCTCCCAATTTTTTTAACCAGGGGCCAGCATTTTTATTTTGCACTGGGCCCTAAAAATCCTGTAGCTGGCCTTGATTCCCACATTCTGATATTCAGGGTAAGCCCACGTGGATTTTGTGAGGTTTAGGGGAGAAGGGGTCAGGTAGAAATGGATACATCTTCCTGATTCAGTTTTCAGGGAAGGGAAAACAAAGGGTCCCCGAAGAAGCGCTTGGACGTGCGCTTGTCAAGGACTTCCAGCATGGAGCGGGGCAAGGAGAGGGAGGAGGCCTGGAGCTTTGACGCCGCGGCGGAGGGCAGGCGGACGGCCGTCAAGGAGTCGGAGGAGAACAAGGAGAACCTGCTTATGGACTCCGAGCTCAAGGACGACTTGCTCCTGTATCAGGATGAGGAGGCGCTGAACGACTCTATCATCTCTGGTGAGGACCGGCTGGGTGCTCCGGGGGGGTCTCCTCCCGGAGGGAGCATCGGAGGTGGGCGTGAGCCTGTGTCTGAGTTAGTGTTTCTGCCTGCTCACGTGGAGGGGGCACGGCCCAGGGCCTGGAGCTGGAGCAGGTGGGGAGGGAGCCACCCATCCACAAATGTGCCTTCCCCAAAACCCGCTGGGTGTGCATGCCGCGGGCTCAGGGGTGGACTAGGTGACACCTACATGGACTTGTTTTAGCTTGATAATTATGTATTAACTTTCATGTGTATTAGGAAACCCTGAGTTTGGTGCAGCAGTGACTTTGTAAGCATTTCTGCCTAGGACAAGCTGAGTGATAAAGTTCACCGAGATGTTGACGTTACATGGGGTGTGCAGATGTGGCAGGAGGTGGCTTGGGGTGCGTGGACATCCGATGTTTAGAAACTACAGAAAAGAATTCAAAGGGAAGGGTGCATGAGATGGCAGTGGAGAGTGGGCTCATGTGACTGCCTCAGACACTTATTTTTTGGGGCACACAATTCAATCCGTAGCACCTTCCATGTTGCTTGTCCTGGGGAACATAATCGGGGGTCTCTGAGCCCCTGAAATCGCTCCCAGAAAGGGCTTCTCTGCTTTTATCACCTTCTCGAAAGCGTCCGTAACTCCCGAAAAGTTACGAATCTCTACTCAAAATACTTGGGGTGGGGGGACAATTCAATATTGGTGATAGAAAAGGTTTATAAATAAAACCTTCCTTTTGGGGAAAAATCGGTCCCGGTAGGAAAGGCCCCTGGAAGCATCCTGCTTTGCCTGAGGCAGCAGGTTTTACTGCGTCTTTCTGCAACATGTGGTTTCAAACCTTGGGTCTAGTTCTTGTGCCTGCTACTTTGAGATCTCGGTGGTGTTGAAACAGAAAAGCACCAGGCAGTGGATTAATCAGTTATTAATCATAGCAACCACAATTTTATTTACATGCAGTTTACTGTTGATGGAGTTTTTCAGGCATTATCTTGTCCCATGTGAATACTCTAGGGAAATTTTTGTCAAGCATGTTGTCAACCTGCATTCTCTACAGCCTGGGAAACCCTATGAGATAGTTCCTCTGTGTCACAGGAGATCACTGTGAGTCGGAACCGACTCAGCGGCACCCAACAACAACAATTTTGGAAGTAGATTGCCAGGCCTTTCTTCCTAGTCTGTCTTAGTCTGGAAGCTCCCGATCTCGTCGATACCCCATGCTGCTTTGTACCGTTCCTGTGAGCAAACGGGACCCTTGTTCCTTGGCCAATTTGTTGACTTAACAAGAGCGTCGCTGTCCCTGCAGACAGACAGGCATACCTGCTCCGCGTCTGGAAGAGCAGTGTGTGCGTTTGTAATTGGACCACGTTTGCTTACTCGCTTAGCAGGGAGCAGGGACAAGGAGAATTAGACCGTCACCTGAGCCTGGGTCAGCAGGACAGGCTGAAGGGTCCCTCGAGTTGGAGAGAGAGGTCCGGAGCAGGCCTCCAGGTATCCTGCAGGGGGCCACCTCTCCCAGGCAGTGGGAGGGACCCTCCAGGGCCCCAGACTGCAGGACCGAGTGTCCCTTTTACTGTGTACCATGGGGGTACCTGGGATCATCCCTGTGCCCCTGGCCCCCCAGGCTTCCTCATTAACATGAGGTGACAGTCTTCCTGGCAGGCTGTCGAGGGGGTGAGTGAGATGGCACCATTGAGGGGCTTAGTGCTGGGCAGGGCCCCTGACAGTGTCCTCATCATCGTCATCCTGATGTGAAAATGGAATCTCAGCACCCCCGCCACCTTGAGAAAACGAGCATCCTGGATTCCTTTAATCAACATGCCCAGCACATCTTAACCACTCCTGGGGGGAGGCTGGGCCCTGCGGTAAATGGGGTGTGGAGGTGGGTGGGGCCATGGCCTCCAGGAGGAGGGGTGGAGGGACTGCTCACCAGGGCTTCTCCCTAAAGTCTGAGCCCTAGAGGAGCGCCTTCCGCCCCTCCGCCCCCACCTAGTGATACCTGTGCATTACCGCGTGTCTGTGTCACCCATCTGCAGACCCAGCTACCAGTCAGACTCTGTTTTCAGTTGGTCATTGTCCTGGTTATCTAGTGCGGCTGTGACAGAAATACACTCAGTGGATGGCTTTAACAAACAAATTTATTCTCCCACAGTCTAGGAGGCTAGAAGTCTGAAGTTAGGACGCCAGCTTCAGGGGAAGGCTTTCTCTCTGTCAGCTTTGGGGGAAGGTCTTTGTCATCAATCTTTCCCTGGTCTAGGAGCTTCTCAGTATAGGTACCCCTGGTCCAAAGGATGCACTCTGTTCCTGGCACTACTTTCTTGGTGGTATGAGGTCCCCTTGTCTCTCTGCATTCTTCTGTCTTTTATATCTCAACAGAGATTGATTCAACATACAACCTAATCCTGTAGATTGAGTCCTGCCTCATTAACATCAGAGAGGTAGGATTTACAACACAGGAAAATCACGTCAGATGACAAAATGGTGGACAACCACACAGTACTGGGAATCGTGACCTAGCCAGGTTGATAAAAATTTTTGGTGGACACAGTTCAATCCATAAAAGTCGTGGTCCTGCCAACATGGCGTTTGCGAGTTGGATGAGCAGTGAGTGCTTGTCAGGGTGTCCGGGAGTAGCTTGTCAGGGTGTCAGGGAGTAAAGTCACAGCAGCCCCGGCGGAGGTCTGCCCCATGCCCGCTGTGCTCAGCAGGCTGTGTCGGGTGCTGTTCCCAGGGTGACGATGTAACATGTCCCCCTAACATGTCCCTGAGGTATGACTGCCCCAATGCATGGTGCTGTGAGCCCAGTAAAGCCCAGAGCGCACGAGGAAACTAAAGCTCAGAGAAGCTCATGTTTGCAAAGGGGCAGAGTCAGGATTTAACCTGGAACGCTGGACTCCAAACCCCGCAATGCTGGGCCACGGGGCTGTGCTGGTAACACCCAGAGAGGGCAGAGGTGGGGAAAAGTCAACGCTCCTCTACCTTGTGGTGCGACCACAAGATGATGTGCCCTCTGTAAAGCGCTGACAGACTTTCAGTGCACAGACCTGCTGTTCCAGCAACTTCGCTTTCAGGAATTTCTTCTCCAGCCATCCTCGCACGCAAGCATAAAGGTTTATGTAAGTCAAGGCTTCTGAGCCACAGCTCCATGACATTTGGGGCTGGTTAATCTTGTGTTGGGAGGCTGTCTCGTGCATCACAGGGTCTTGCGCAGTCTCCCGGGCCTCTGTCCTCTGGATGCTGTAGCACCACCCCTATGCAGTGTATGGATATGTTGCATATGTTATAGAGTATTGCAAAAATAGTAATGAGGAACAAGTGACAGGCAATAGCACCTGTATATATGAGTGTGAATATTTTCTGCCACAGCCAGACCTAGTGAATCTGTGGGGCTGAGGCCCAACAATCTGTATTTCAGCAAGTGCACGGGGGAGGGGGGTTCCCACACAGGTGGTCCAGAGTTGATCCTTTGTGTGAAATAGTATGAAAGCTAGATGGGAAATATTAAAGTCGAGGAGGGATTTCAGTGTTTTATAGGACTGTAAAAATAATTTTTTGTTGTTTTTGAAAACATACAGAGCAGAACATATACCAATTCAGCAATTTCCATGCGTGCAATTAAAGGACACTGATTACATTCTTCAAGTTGTACAATCATTCTCACCCTCCTTTTCCAAATTGCTCCTCCCCACTTAACCTAAGAGAAGCCCTGGTGGTGCAGTGCTTAAGTACTCGGCTGCTAACCAAAAGGTTGGCGGAACAAACCTACCAGCCATTCCGCGGGAGAAAGATGTGGCAGTCTGCTTCTGTAAAGATTACAGCCTTGGAAACCATATAGGGCAGTTCTACTCAGTCCTACAGGGTCGCTGTGAGCTGGAATCAGCATGACAGCAGTGGGTTTGGTTTTTGGTTTTTTACTGAACATGAACTCACTGCCCCTCAGCTTCCTGTTGTCAGTTTGATCCCATGTAGATGTATCTTAAAAGAGCACAATACTCAAGGCAGACATTCTTTACTAGTTGAGCTAAACTATTGTTTGGTTTGAAGACGACTTCAGGGGATGTTTTTGGTTTAAAGATGATCTCGGCAACATTTTGGGGATTCAGCCAGCCTTCATGGCTTCAGAAAGTCTGAATTCCGTGAGAATTTGAAAGCCTGTTGCTTTATGGAATTTTTAAAATAGTCTTTTTAAAAATGCCTTTGCTGTTTATTCGCCAACTGCTGTATGTCCCAGCTCCAGGCTGAGAAAAAACTAGACCCAGTCTCTACCCTCGGTGGTCTCATGGCGAACATGGAAAGCAGAATTTCCACCCTAGGGGCAGTGCGGTGAACTCAGGCATCTGTAACAAGGCTAGTGTCCCTGTGGAACTCCGGCAGCTGTGTGAATTTGAAGGACAGAGTCCCTGGAATCCTTCCTCCCGTGGGCATGCTGTGAAAAGTGAAGGGGTTTCCTTCTCTGAATCCTGTTTTAAATGCAGCGGAGGGTTTGTTGAAAGGCCCTTTGCAATGAATCCTCCTGTACAGTGAAGAATCTTCGAACGAGTGAGGACTCAGCTGTCCTCATCATCCCGTGAATTCACAGAAGGAAGCAGTTGCCGCCTTTTCTTGGAGGATGGGGCTCTGGGGTTTCTCCTCACGGACACTAGATGGCGCTGCAGACAGTCACTGGGATGCAGGATGCTGGGGAGACCTAGTCTGGTCCCTTTGGGACAACCTGGTGGGAACCTGGGAGTCCCTGGGGGGTGCAAACAGTTAAGGTGCTCAGCTGCTAACGGAAGATGAGAGGTTTGAGTCCACCTATAGGTGCCTCGGAAGAAAGGCCTGGCAATCTACTTCTGAAAACTCAGCCTTTGAAAACCCCATGGAGCAGTTCTGCTCTGACACACGTGGGGTCACCGTGAGTCACGGTCACCGTGAGTCCGCATCAACTCCCTGGCAACTGCTGTTTTGTTTTTATTTCTGTGGTGAAAATACACTCAGCAGCTGGGTTTAACTGAG